TGTCCTAAATCAAGATTCATGACTTGAAAAGCAGAAAGATTTGTTATTAAGTCAAGTTTTCTGTAATAAATGATCAACATTAAGTGAGTTTCTGCTTAAAACAAGAGAAAAATATCCACCAGTGGAGTCAGAAAGCTAATCTTAGTTTCCCTTTGAATTAAGTAGCTAACAGATATGTTGTCTTTATAGCACAAACTCACTTCAATTTTCAATTTTGATGATTTTTTCCCCCAGACAATTTCTTGTAATTTTGCTACTCAAGTCGAATTTTTAGATATTTTTAATAGAAAACAAGACAAAATACTGAGTAAGAAAATCTTTAAAATATTTTTGTTTTCACTTTAATTTTAGTTGAGGCTTTATTTTTATTTAGTTGTTTTTTATTTATTCATGTTTTTATTTTTTTTTATTATTATTGTTTTTATTTATTTAGTTAGGGTTTTTTATTTAATAGTTGTAGTTTATCTAGTTTTAGTTATTGATGATGAATACAAATGAATGCTTAGATGGAAATATTGTTCGGCTAAATTCATTACACCTTTTGTCCAGTGCTACAGTGACTTTTCCAGTGATTGGTAATTTTAAAACTCCAGCGTGGATTTCCATTCCTGGCAAATTAAGACAATTATATTAGCAGTGCCGATGTCTCCAATTAACCTTTTAAAGCCTACAGCATCATATCTGATATCCCCAGGTTATGAAGAAATAAGTCAGGTCATCATTAATCAAATTAAATGCATATATCAGTATTAGCTACCTGAGTAAATCTTTGAATAAACATTACAAAAACTAGCAAATGCATTGAGTTAATTTGCTAATTTATACATAAAATGTGCATACTATGCGGAGTAGTATGAGCAGTATGCTAGTATGCAGTGTGTTTGTACAGGCAGCGTCGCCCTCTGCTGGTGGTTAAACCAGTAACCAGTAAGTGTGTGCATATAGAATTACATAACGTGAGTTTCTGCTTAAAACAAGAGAAAAATATCCACCAGTGGAGTCAGAAAGCTAATCTTAGTTTCCCTTTGAATTAAGTAGCTAACAGATATGTTGTCTTTATAGCACAAACTCACTTCAATTTTCAATTTTGATGATTTTTTCCCCCAGACAATTTCTTGTAATTTTGCTACTCAAGTCGAATTTTTAGATATTTTTAATAGAAAACAAGACAAAATACTGAGTAAGAAAATCTTTAAAATATTTTTGTTTTCACTTTAATTTTAGTTGAGGCTTTATTTTTATTTAGTTGTTTTTTATTTATTCATGTTTTTATTTTTTTTTATTATTATTGTTTTTATTTATTTAGTTAGGGTTTTTTATTTAATAGTTGTAGTTTATCTAGTTTTAGTTATTGATGATGAATACAAATGAATGCTTAGATGGAAATATTGTTCGGCTAAATTCATTACACCTTTTGTCCAGTGCTACAGTGACTTTTCCAGTGATTGGTAATTTTAAAACTCCAGCGTGGATTTCCATTCCTGGCAAATTAAGACAATTATATTAGCAGTGCCGATGTCTCCAATTAACCTTTTAAAGCCTACAGCATCATATCTGATATCCCCAGGTTATGAAGAAATAAGTCAGGTCATCATTAATCAAATTAAATGCATATATCAGTATTAGCTACCTGAATAAATCTTTGAATAAACATTACAAAAACTAGCAAATGCATTGAGTTAATTTGCTAATTTATACATAAAATGTGCATACTATGCGGAGTAGTATGAGTAGTATGCTAGTATGCAGCGTCGCCCTCTGCTGGTGGTTAAACCAGTAACCAGTAAGTGTGTGCATATAGAATTACATAACAATAAAACAAAATATATAAAAAATATGTCAATGTTTTCATTCATATATGTGACCCTGGAGCACAAAACCAGTCATAACCCACCGCTCCGGGTGTGTGTTCACGGTGTGTGTGTGTTCACTGCTGTGTGTGTGCACGGATGGGTAAATGCAGAGCACTAATTCCGAGTATGGGTCACCATACTTTGCCACGTCATGTCACTTCACTTCACTTCATAAGGGTCAATTTTTCGAAATTGAGATTTATACATCATCTGAAGGCTGAATACATAAGTAACAAAATTTGGCTGAGATACAACTATTTGAAAATCTGGAATCTGAGGGTGCAAAAAAATCTAAATATTGAGAAAATCATCTTTAAAGTTGTTCAAATGAAGTTCTTAGCAATGCATATTACTAATCAAAAATTAAGTTTTGATATATTTACGGTAGGAAATTTACAAAATATCTTCATGGAACATGATCTTTACTTAATATCCTAATGATTTTTGGCGTAAAAGAAAATATATATAATTTTGACCCATACAATGTATTGTTGGCTATTGCTACAAATATACCCCAGCGACTTAACACTGCTTTTGTGCTCCAGAGTCACATATAATCAACAAATTAGAAATGTCTTACTCTTCCGGTTATTATTTTAATTGCATTTATGCAGTGATCTATTTCTAAGAAAAAGTCATCAGCTCTAATAAGAGTCTGTGGTGATTTACCTGGTGATGACATCATGAGTTACTCTCCATGGCAACAGATCCCTGCTGGAATGCAATTATTTCCTAATTAGTTCCATGCCTGTATTTTTTTCTATCAAGTGTCATTAGCACATTAGTATGCATGCTTTTGCTAATGCAATCTGATTCCAGCCTGCATGCGGACATGTTATTAATCACATGTATTCATATTCTGCCTGTTTGCATTAGCAGTGAACTGGCTGATTTCTGTGGAATCGTGCACTAATGTAATAAACACACATCAACAGTACATTTATGAGAAAGAATCTACGGCATCTTCTTAACATGGTCAACTTTTTGCCTGTTTATTAATGTTGCTATTCAGCATTTTGCATGTAAGTTTTACAAGAGTTTTCCGACACTTTGGGTCAAATGTGTTTCATAAACAAACATTACAGCTTGACTAATTGTTGAATAAAAGTGACGAATAGCTAAATAATATTAATTCAGACAATCCAATCCTTTCACAGTGCAATGATCTCTTTCATTACAAAAGATACATTAGAAATAGAGTTCATATCAAGTATACAGCGGTGTTATTTTAGTCTCCTTGACATAGTATTATAGTTTTTATGAGTCATTTTTATTAGTTTTTGATTTTATTGATAAATCAAGATAAACTAAATGAAAATGAGAAAAGTTGCATTGGCAACTTTCGGAAATGAAATAGGTTTAGGTTTTTATTTTATTTTTAGTTCAAGTTTTGTAATGCATTTTTATGGTTTTAGCCCTTGTATAAAGTGTCACTAACTCAGTATGAGTTTATTAATATGCACAAGTTGTTAAAGCTTCATAAATGAGTGCATGCATAAATAATTCTCAGTGTTGTAATTAAGTTTTTTTTTTAAGCTAAACCACTGCAGATTTAAACACCTGTGAACTGATTTCTTGTAATCAATTAAAAAATTAAATAGTAAATTATAATTCCATTTCTTGTCACATGTGATCGTACAGGACATTTGCAGAGAATGATGTAAGTACAGTATATATATACAGTAATGTGTTTCAGTCATGCACTATAAATATCAGCTCTAATAGAG